ACAAATACCAGTTGCAAGTTACAGTATTTGTTCCAAAGAGTCAGGAAAGATAATACGGAGTGATCATTTTATTTGATAGCCAACAAAACATTTAAAAAATTTCGTGTAAAAGAGATCTAGGCACACGTCATTTAGAAAAAACAATCTTTGTTGTCTATACGGTATTGCCATCTGTCAACAGCCGGGAGCTCTACGAATGCATATAGGCAGTATATAAACATGGCGTTCAGCGCAGACGCGCGTGTTCATGGGTTCATAGAATGCTGGGAGACAAGTAGGTGCCAAGAGAAGAATCATGACGAGAAGTGAGAAACTTTATTCCGTGAGAATAAAGAATATAATTTTCTTACAAGGCGAACAGGCTTTGTTCGTCACTCCTGATAAGGGTAGTAGGAGAGTGAACGTGTTAGGGTAGAAATGGGTACAAGCTTCAGACAGAATCTGATTTTCTGATTAATGCACGATCCATATCGAAACAAATAATTTGTAAATACAAGTCATTCAATAGGTGGCCTCCATACCATAGGAGTCATCATGTTGAGTCTAAATCGGAATGGTTAAACGAAAAGCATGAGTTAATAGCTTTGAGGACACGTTCTCACAGAGGAGATATTAAAGTATCGATGTTTGTCATGGGTTGTAACGCTTCCAGACGTGAAGATAGATATCAGCGTTTCGAAGGAACATACTGCCTCCATCTTCAGTCCTGGGTCCTTATACCAAATTCGGATTCATTCCTGTCACAAATATTCTCTGCCACTTTCTACAACTCATGTTTCTTGTACTGCACATTCAGATTACTAGCCTCAGGTCTTCGTTCTATTAACTGTGTTTAATCGTAGATGCGTTGAAGTCCTGGACTGCACACAAACAGTGAGCAAAGCTGTCATGCGCCTACTGATTAACTCGGCAAACAGAAACTGAAGCACTGCGCTTTCAAGGCTCTGCTCGACTCGTTGAAGGACGATCGGCCACGGCTAAACCGCAGCTCCGAGGATTGCGTCAATCACAACCGTGTGCCTGATTCCTTAATGCAACTGTACCAATAGTAGTTAAAGAGTTTCATGATAAATGGATGAGTACCATAACACTGGAGGTCACTCTACCCCGCCATCACCATCGCTAACATGGTGGCCATGCCTCGGGCACATCACCAGAACTGCAGTCACAACTGGCTGCGAGCTACGAATCCAAAACCAAATCGCCCTGATAAACGTGCCTCTCATTTGTTTGTTATTTATACTGTGCACAAAATTGTGTGTATGACGTAACTTTGAAAAAAAATTATAACAGCATTTAGGATGTGGGATAACAGTAGCGGGCTATGTTAAATCTGGGATCTTACATTTTTACAGCGAAATTGAGAGTCCGTGTCACCGAGACGAGCCTCGGACGAACCCGGTAATTTGGATGCGGTACGGTGGAACGCAGAAGGACAAGAGTGGCACATGGTTATAATATAGACACATTTCATAAGTGTAGAAAAAGAGAATGGTGTCCACCAAGAATGACGTAATCGTTCTGGCAGGAAACAGTGATGGGACATACATCGGGTAGGAGCTTATCCTGACTCGTAGTTTAGAAAAGAAACCGTAATACAACAATTAGCATGATTATTGGGATTGTAAGTAATGGATACATGAATATACATATGAGCGAAGTACAGTCTTTACAAAAGTAACATGCAACAGACTAGCTGCTTCTTCTATCGGAAGTAGTCTTTGGTAAAAATATTCGAGGCCCCAAGGTGACCCGTACCGTAGGGGAGACCTGTCCCATAAGCTAGCGCGGGGTTCACCCCATATCTTGCAGAATACGGGACACCATAAGAAAATCCATGGCCTTCACCATAGTTGAGGAAAGGACTCACGCCATAATCCAAACCATGATCTGCCCCATAGGCCAGTATGGGATTAATTCCGAAAGTCAATCCATGGTCAGCACCATATGCTAAAGCTCCTCCAGAAATATATCCGGCCCCATACGCAGAAGCAGGAGTCGCCGCGTATCCCAGACTGGCACCATACGACACAGAGGGGACCACTACAGTCTTAGCGGCGGGGGCAGCGACCTTAGCGACAGCAACAGCGGGAGTCTTGTGCACGACGGCGTTGAATCCGTTAACGGCGTCAGCGGTGTACTCCACCGTACGACGAGTTCCGTCAGGATCCACCAGGCTGTAGCTGCCCTGAACGACGTCTCCGCTTCGAGTCTCGTGATGTTCCTTATTGTCGCCAGTGTGAGGGTCGTTGACGCCGTACGAGAAGCTGTAATGCGGAGGACTGTACTGGTCATCGACGGCTTTGGCGACAGAGGCGGCAGCTGGGGCGACGTACGAACCGTAGGCCGGAGAGTACGCGGGGGCGGCAGCAGCGTAGGGCAGTAGGGTGGGTCCGCCTCCGAAGTAACCGGCTCTGACAACAGTCAGCACTGAGACGGCAAGAGTGAAAAGCTGTGAAGGTGAAGAAACAGTTGAAACGCGAGGCAGTTTCACAGCAGCTCACAGAGACACACTCCAATCAGCGGAACACGCGGTTCCAAAGCTTAGGAGTTGACAAAACCAAAGAATAAAAACTCTTCTGCGTCTATTTCACCACATTCATGGTATACTGCAATACAATTCTCTTCTCTCTTACCCTCTATTTCTTGTCCTACCTTACTAATTTTATTCTCCCATTCACATTTAAAACTGAACTGACATTACCCAATGTTTTTTTAAATCAACAACCTTTATAATTTGTATCTTAAGTGCGTCATGTTTGTGTTGAATCAAATACATATATTTATTTTTCCAGTCTATACTATATACAATAAACTTTATACTATAAATGTTATAATATTTTAACAACATTATTTTAAATAAGTTTGTGTATAACTAACTAACTAGATGGCTTACCGAACCCGAAGGTTCATCACCGAATTAACCAAAGCCCTCCACCGGACCCTGTCCTGGGCCAACAAAATCCAGTTTCCTTCAACTCCTATCCCCCATAGATCCCGCCTGAGATTATCCTCCCATCTACGTCAAGGTCTCCCCAGCGGTCTCTTCCCTGCAGGTTTCCCAACCAGTACCCGGTGCACACCTCTTGTCCCATCCATGCACGCTACATGTCCCGCCCATCTCACTCTTCTCGACTTAATCACCCTCACAATACTGGGGGAGCAGTACAGATTTTAAGCTAGTCATTGTGCAGTTTTCTCCACGCCCCACCGTCTTCCCTCTTAGGCCCAAATATCCTCCCCAACACCCGATTCTCAAACACCTGCAATCTGTGTTCCTCCCTCTGAGTGAGAGACCATGTTTCGCACCCATACAAAACAACAGGCAAGATTATTGTTTTGTATACTTTAATTTTCAGGTTCTTAGAAATCAGACGGGAAGACAAAATATTTTGAACTGAGAAGTAGCAAGCATTTCCGGAATTTAGTCTCCTCCTAACTTCCTCACAAGTATCATTTTGATTTGTTATTGTTGTTCCCAAATATTTGAACTTTGTAACCCTTTCAAAGGATTTATTAGCCACCCTAAGATAATTTTGCCCGCCTGTCTTCTGATGACGAGATACTAACATGTACTTAGTTTTTTCTGAATTTACTTCCACCCCCACTTGTCTCCCAGCCTCTAGTAAAACTTCTGCGTTCCTCTTTATTGTATTTATATCGTCCCCCAATAAATTAACATCATCAGCATATGCCAATAGCTGATGTGTCCCGTTCAATTGCAAACCCTCCTGCCTACCTTGGACCTTCCTGATGGCGTATTCTAGCGCAAAGTTAAAGAGCAAGGGAGACAAAGCATCTCCTTGTTTTAGACCGTTCTTGATGAGGAATGTCTCAGATACATATTTACCTACTCGAATTTTGCTGCAGGTTTCATTTAAGCACATTTTTATTAGACCCACTAGCTTCTTTGGTATACCAAATTCAATAAGAATATTATATAGCACTTCTCTCTTCACAGAGTCATAGGCTTTTTTGAAATCTATAAATAACTGATGTACAGTCCCACCGAACTCCCATTTTTTCTCTAGTATCTGACGAATGCAAAAGATCTGATCAATCGTTGATCTGTTTCGTCTGAACCCACACTGATGATCCCCAATAGTTTCATTCGCATATGGGGTTAATCTTGCCAAAAGAATGTTGGATAGAATTTTGTATGAGGTTGATAGCAGCGATATTCCTCGGTAATTACCACACTCAGTCTTGTCCCCCTTCTTATAAATAGGAATAATTATGGATTCCTTCCATTGATGTGGCATCTCTTCCTTATCCCAAATTAACTGAATAAGCTTATGGATCCTCATATGCAACCCTTTGCCACCTGCTTTAATTAATTCGGCCGGAATCTGATCAATTCCTGGAGATTTATAACTTTTCAACTTCCCAATGGCTAGTTCCACTTCATCTAAGCTAGGTTCTGGCACCAACAGTTCAGCTGTATGCATTTTAATCTGTCTAATATCACCAGTATTATGAACATTTAAGAGCTCGCTAAAGAAATTTTTCCACCTATTCACAATTTTTATTGGATCTGCAAGCAAATTGCCACTATCATCCTTTACCAAATTAGTCTGGGGTTGATATCCTTTCTTAAAGTTATTAATGCCTCTGTACAGGTCTCTGATGTTTTTTTCCTTATTATTTGTCTCAAGTTCAGCAATTTTGCCCTTCAGGTATTCCCTTTTCTTAGTCCTAAAGGTTCTACTAGCCTCACGTCTCACGTTACATAGATTATCCGCATTTGTTTTGTTTGGGTTCTGCAACCATTGAAATTTTGTTTGCTTCCTTCGATCTATTAATTTTGAACATTCTTCATCAAACCACGGTTTATTTTGCTTTCTCCTGTAGTATCCTAGTTTCTCTTTTGCTGAAATTTTGATGCAGTTTCTGACATTTTCCCACTCCCTGTTGATGTCCACACTTTCATTATCCTCATTTGTCTCTAAAATTTGAAACCTATTCGAAATTTCAACTTGATATTGTTCCTTTGCCTCTCCCTCACTTAATTTTTTCAAATCAAATCTTTCTGTGTCAAAATTTTGTTTAGTTCGTCTACTTACTGAAAGCCGCTCCCTCACTTTTGCTACCACCAGATAATGATCAGTGTCGCAATCTGCTCCTCTGAATGATCTCACATCAATTACATTTGTCTGCCTTCTCTTATCTACTAAAACATGATCTATTTGATTGTGTGTTCTGCCATCTGGGGAAGTCCAAGTGTATTTATGAACATCACGGTGTGGAAATTTTGTACTTTTTACAATTAAATCTTTTGACGTAGCGAAGGTCACTGCTCTGACGCCATTATCATTACTAAGTGCATGGAGACTCTCGCTGCCTATTGTGGGTTTGAAGACATCCTCCCTCCCAATTTTTGCATTGAAATCTCCTAGCAGAATTTTCATGTGATACTTGCCAAATGTATCAAATACTGATTCCAATTCTTCATAAAAGCTATCCTTGATATCATCGCTTTTGTCTTCAGTTGGGGCATGAACATTAAGGACAATGATGTCGCACCAACGTCCTTCCAAAATTACGTAAGACAACCTGTCACTAACAAATTCTACTCTCTTAACTGCTGCCCTAATTCTGCTATGAACAAAAAAACCCGTCCCTAGCTGATGATTGTCATTCCCCTTTCCATAGAAAAATGTAAAATTGTCCACTGGGATCGGGCCCTCCCCCTCCCATCGCTCTTCCTGCACTGCCACTAAGTCTAACTTATAATTCCCTAATTCCCTACCCACTGATTTCAGTGCCCCAGCCCTATAGAGGCTCCTAATGTTCCAGGTACCAAATCTCATGTCCTTTTTCAATTGCCGTGGTCGTGCCAAAGAGTCCGTCCTGATCCGAGGCTTGGTTGATTTTTTCGTAACACATATTTTTTTTAAAGGTGAAAGGTTGTTAGCCCTACACCCAACCCCCAACCTGGAGGACCAGGGTATCACTCTTAGTCTAGCGCATCTCCTTAGACCTGTCCGGCTTGGGTGACCCTACCATGAGCCGAAGCTCAGGCCGGCATAGCCCTAAGGGTCATTTGAGCACGCAAGCCTCCTCACCCGGCAGATTGCCTTCGACATTGTGTATAGACTGGAAAAATAAATATATGTATTTGAACCTTTATAATTTATATTTATATATTAATATTATTTTCTAAGTGACGTCTTCATTTATACTACGCTACTTATGACACATTTCTCCCTCCACCTTTACGAATCGAAACACTTTAATAAGGCGAGTTTAATATCTTCCTCTTAACTGAGATATTGCAGTGAAATTTAATGCAAAACTGAACCACGTGCATGCGTTTATATATCTGTTGTTTAAAATTCCAAGAAGCAGAATACAGAGCTGACTCCTTGAACCAAAGTGGTATACCTACCCACATATATCGCAAGCTTTAACATTCAGGAACAGATAAGAAATTTCGTCTACAGAGTGGACTTATAAATTTCGCTTGGTTATCAGAATAAACTGACGTCTTCATCCCACCACATTCTAATTTTCGCTGAAGTTACCACGTGGCTTAACTGCTGGGACGGAAACCTCCGCCGCTGTTCGGAGCGCGATCTGACCCGGCATCCAGATTCTTACCTTGAAGGCCATGATGCTGTTGCTGAACGAACTGTGACCATTTGTCAACACGAGAGCTTTTATAGAAATGAAGTTGTCGCTTTCTACAGGATCGAGTATCCACATATGGAGACATTTCTGACGATCAATTGCGTTTCGACACAACAGTGGACTGACACCCGCTCAGGCGGCCCGGGGCTGAGTCGGCGTTTCGCCACTACAAATCCCGGGCGAGGCAGCCGAATTGATGCGGTCCAATTCGCCATTCCAGTGGCACATAAAGCGTAACATACATTGACACACTTCTGCAGCCAGTTCCAAGATAAAGCCGATAACGCAGTTCGGTTTCTCGTCAGGACACAAATGTTTCTTCGTGGTCAAAATCAGCCTTGTCACAATCGTGGCCCACAAAACGTAGTTAACTCTGTACACCACTCAAAAGGAGACGATGCTTTGTACGCCTTAATCCTTACAACCGCAGCCCAATCACAAAGTTCTTCAACTCTGACCCTGAGTCCACGATTACTGCGTGATCTTTGACAGGGACACCGAGGAACTGTACCTCCGTCCTCGCATTCACCTTCATATCGGCATCTTAACTAGCTCTGTGGAGCAGATTCTTGTTCTTCAGAGGTGACAACCTTGAAGGTGCTCGAGAACTTCTTCTCTTATGTAACACGCGCACTCACTACCGTGTTCACAGCATCCAACCACCGGCCCCTGTCCTGACTCACAAGAATTCAATCCACGCCCCCCCCCCCCAATCCTATCCCAATAACACCCACTTTAATATTATTATCCCATCTTTTTCATATGTCCAATGTCTATACAAGCCGCAAACCTCATCCTTCTTGCCTTCATCACATTAATAATATGCGGTGAAAAGTACAAATTACGGCACTCTTCATCATACAGAAGATAGGAAGACAGAAGATCCAGAGTTTAATGACCGCACGCATTCTCTGAATTCAATATGATCTTTATTTCTTCCGAAATGTACTTACTATTACTCCGAAAACCAAATATTCGAAAATGGTCACATTTCGAAGGCTTTCCTACAGTTGCATTCTGGCGAAGACTTGAGCAAGTAGGTAGACTAGTTTCCCCCACGTTTACTCAACTAGCGGTCGAATGGCAATCACTCATTCTTCGTATTCGGGAGGTTCCGGGTTAAAATCTCGACCACGAAACTGGCTGTCCCAACACAGTTTTCATCAGTCGCTGCAGGCTAATGCTGAGATAGCATCTTATATTAGACTAATACTGCGTCTTTACACAACCTTTCCAGTTCATTATTTGGCTCAATGCAATCCGAGCTGCTGACAGCGGAGTTAAAGAAACCTTTTAATAGGCTATATAAGGTTCTTTGTTACCTAACAAAATTCTGTACTAAATGTTGTCAAGTGCTTTGAATTACTGATAAGTGTTGCCACTGCACAAACAGGAATATATTGCCGGCGAACATTGCGCAACAGCCGAGGGTAGGGTCGTAAAACCGGGGACTTTGTGCTCAGGCCATGTTCACTCTTGATTTCCTCACAACGATCTGGAATATCGAGGCCCGCAGATTAAATTTCGAGGCCACAATACTTTTTCCTTCACTTTCCCTCGGGTCCACCCTGGGGCACACTTCATCGACCTCCGGTTATTTCACGATTATGTATCAACTACAGGAGTCGTGCAGTCGTGGTAAGCCGAGGCGAACGTGGATGAGACACATATTCTCAGTCTAAAGAGTGAAGATAATCTAAAATAATACTTTCAGAACACACTGCATCTCCATTACAAAGATCAGTTCGTTTATCTTAAGGGAACCAATCGCTATTTATTGTGGGAACCAAACGAAACATAAGTAGGTCTGCACTGTGTGGGCGGAATACCGAAATGTCTGAAAGACAAAACAAGTGGCACATAATCAAGCCTACCACTGCCCTGTAAAAGTCAGGGATATTTTTTCGGTGTCAAACACTGGCTGGTGTACATCCCCTACAAGCAATTCAATCGGAATCAGTTCAGTAGCTCGGAAGATGAAACTTTCGGGTTCATATGACCTACATATCGAGCGACAAAATTTACGTACTTCGTAAGAAAATTACAGGAAGAGGTAAAGTATCATTGTATCTAAGCAAGCGCCAAGTTATGCAGCCGTGTATTGAAGGTGCACGTACACTCCGGTTTTAGCATTCAGATTAACAATGTTGGGGCAGCTTCTAGTTCAAGCCGCTTTAACCTGGGGATCCCTGAACGAATCGAACCTCAGTCAGCCAACCCACGTACTGTCACTTTCCTGACTGAACTATCACAGCGCGATGTTGAACATCCGGCGCGGTGGGTCTTCAGACTGAGGTCGCTGAAAACTTCTTTGCTGACAGCGTTTGGTATACGAGATATAAAGTCTTGTCTTCTGTCGTCTGTGGACAGTTGAAACAATATGTTCACATGTTTATCATCGAAAGGATTACCAGCACTGTATCACTAACGAATTTCACATCATCATCATCTAGGGATGATTATTAAGCGCAAACGAGAAAAACGAAATGAACTTTCTATTAATAATAATTTATATGACTATTCCAGCTGCTCAGCTAGAAGTTGGTCAACTGGGACATTACCAGTTCTGGAACTATTTACCATCAACTCTCTGAACCCGAAGAACGTCTATTTAATATTAAAGAACCGAGTCCCAACCTCAAGAAAAAATACAAGTTCCGAATTATAAAGAAGAATTCGTCAACGCTGATTATTCTGAGAAACGTATGAAACATATATATATATATATATACACTGTGGGCAAAATTCAGTTACTGATCATTAAAGTAGGTGGTACATAGAGTTACCACTGGGCTTTAAAGACTACGTAATACATCAGTAAATGAACAGAATGCTATGATGTGTCAGAAAGAAAAAGTAGCAAGACAACTGCTTTCCCCATTTCTCGAATATGAATCATCCAAACAGTGTGCGACCTTCCATACCATTTACAACAGAAAGGCTCCCTGACGTCGTCACCAGATCAGTCACCGAGACAGGCAGCTGCTTCGCGCGGTGTTCGGCTGCTGACTGAGCGCCGAGTGATCGCCCGCCCTGACACACCCGGGCGACCATGGACCAGATGACGGCCGGTCGCTAACCGCAGACATAATTAACGACACATTGTTCGTTTACTGGCTAATTTAACGACTCCTTATCAACTTCGTAAAAGAATGTAGGTCGAACAGGAGGAAGTAATGAGTAATGAGTAATATTCATCGACCTGATGACGGAGGCAAAATGGCCTCTGAAACGTTGGTTAACATCGACCAGACTACGCAGCGCAACAACCCAGAAGACAGAAATCGTCATACTCATCGCCCTGATGATGGAGGCAGTATGACCTCTGAAACGTTGGTTAACATCGACCAGACTACGCAGCGCAACAACCCAGAAGACAGAAATCGTCATACTCATCGCCCTGATGATGGAGGCAGTATGACCTCTGAAACGTTGGTTAACATCGACCAGACTACGCAGCGCAACAACCCAGAAGACAGAAATCGTCATACTCATCGCCCTGATGATGGAGGCAGTATGACCTCTGAAACGTTGGTTAACATCGACCAGACTACGCAGCGCAACAACCCAGAAGACAGAAATCGTCATACTCATCGCCCTGATGATGGAGGCAGTATGACCTCTGAAACGTTGGTTAACATCGACCAGACTACGCAGCGCAACAACCCAGAAGACAGAAATCGTCATACTCATCGCCCTGATGATGGAGGCAGTATGACCTCTGAAACGTTGGTTAACATCGACCAGACTACGCAGCGCAACAACCCAGAAGACAGAAATCTTCATACTCACCGCTGTGAAAACCTCAAATCTTACAAGTAATGAGCAGCTTCATACGTGAGCTCTGAGGTTCTCACGGCGGTGAGAATAACGACGTTGTTCTCGGTTGTGACGCCGTACAGACTCGTAGGTATTAATAGATACCTGCGTTCCCGATAAACATACTGTTTCCTTCTTCAGGGTTGGTCTGCACGGGGTCACAATTGGAAAGAATAACATTGTCGGGATGTCCATAATTTGTACTCTTCGTAAATATTGCTAGTATGATCAAATCAAGGTCGATGATATAACCAGGACACGTAGCACGCATGAGAGGGATGAAAAATATAAAATTTTACTTGTAAAACTTTAAAGGACTACAGAACTTTGGAAACCTGTCAGTACTTGAGAACGCGACATTACTTGGATCTTAGAACAACTGGATACGGGATTGGAAAAATTCCTGTTATATGGCTCAGGAAAGGGTCCAGTGGCATCTTGTGACCTTCGAGTTGCATAGAAGACAGAGGATGTACTAGCCAGTTAAGCGACTACAAGCTCCTGAAAATAGACTATTCTACGGAGTTTATTTCCAATCTCATACGTAATATTGCGTCAAATAGCAAAACGATAATGAACGACGAGTAGGGAAGGATGTGGAAGCAAGTGACCGTGGCTTACGTCAAAATATCCCACGGTTTGGAAAGAGACAGCGGTATAAACCAAGGAAAGCGAAATAATTACAGCCAATCTCCGAACTAGGAGTCACAAAATTAGGCAGGAATCTTCACCATCACACCGCGGAATGAACTTACGCGAAATCAAGCTAAGACACGCCGAGTGGTCGGTCACATCAGGCACATTCGACGTTTCTTCTGAATTCTAAATAAACGGGGCAGGAGCGTCAACTCACAGCAGACCACTTTAGTGTGGCTGCTGTTTTCTCATGATCCTCCCACTTCTGAACTGAGAACGGTGGTTTCTTTTTATCCGAACATTCTGGGAGGAGCGAAAAGAACACTTCAGAATTTGATGTGGGTGTCTTCATAATGCGAGACGTGTTACTGCCGTGTGAAGAAACACGATATATTTCCGTTAAGATTAAGATCATCACTGCATGATTTGGAGATTTCTATCCTCCAGTTCCCCAAATCTTGACAAGATTTTTCAAAGCGCTGTATGAGATGAAATATATAGCGTCGAATGATGTGTTTACCTTCCACGGTCAATTCAAAAGGATTAGGGAAGAAGCGGTGTTGGCCTATTGCAAGGAATTTCCGGCGTTCGCATGAGAGGACAGAGGAAAATTGTGAAACACCTCCATTCAGCAGCGAGTGTTAGTGTGAAGAATCGAAAAAGGTGCTTTCCAAATACAAGCTAATCTGTTACAACCAGGTCTCTCAATAGGACAAATATTCATTCAATCACTGCATTTTATTACCGAAATTGTTAGTACGAAGTACAGAAAAAGCGTTGTCAAGCTTGAGTTTATAGTATAGACACGTTTCATACATTTCAATATTCATAGTTGACGAAAGGTGCGCTGAAAGAAGTGCGGACGTCGCTGGGCCTGGCTACGGGCTGGCTGCCGGACAAGTACGTCAGAGATCCTGACGGTAACAGTTGCTGGGGCACTGGGACGGCGTAGCGAACAGCTGGCACGGTCTGGTACGTCACTTCAGGGCTGGATTTCAGAGTCAGGCCTGGTGCGGATTTGTATCTCACCTCAGGGATGGACTGGTATGGCACTTGAGGGAAGGTCTTCAAAGCCAGAGCTGGTGCGGATTTGTAACTTACTGCAGGCAGGGTCTGGTAAGCCAATTCAGGGATGGATTTCAATGCCAGAACTGGTGCTGGGGCCGGGGACGCAATTCTACCGATGGCTGAGGCAGCTGGCGCAGGTGCGTACGACTTCACTGGCACCGGTGGTGGAGCGGCGGCTCCGGTTTGACGATGCACGACGGCATTAAACCCGTTATCGGCATCGGCAGTGTAGTCCACTCTACGGATGCTGCCGTCGGACTCAACGACACTGTAGCTACCCTGAACGTTGTCTCCACTTCTTGACTCCTCGTGACTCTTGGAGTCGCCAGTGTCTGCGTCGTTAATACTGTAGGAGTAGGTGTATTGCGGGTTGGGATCATACTGGGGGTCGACGGCTGCCTGAGTGACCACAGGGGTTTTGGTAGCGATCACAGTGGGGGACACGATGGTACGGACGGGGGCAGAGGCGTAATTCTCGACAGCGTCGGAGTACCTGGCGATGGGAGATGTGTAGACGTAGTTAGGAGAAGAGGCATATGTAACGGCGGGGCCTACGACGCCTCGTTCGACAGGCACAACGCTGTAAGTCACCGGAGAAGCGGAGGCCACAGCGGCGATAAGAGCAGCGACGAGGAACAGCTGAGAACAATTAGCAGCACTTGACAAGTCAGAATTAAAGCGGCTTATACTTAGAAAATGGCTGACTTCTGGGTAGTAACGCTTTAAAACGTTGGTGAAGGTCCGCCAGACTGCATGGTGTTACAACCCGGAAGACAGCCGTCGCAGGAACTACGGCTAATTGATGTAAAAGAAAACACGCCTCAAAATGAGCTGGTCTCCGGGTCGAGATAGTAACACTGGGTCTTTGTATTACAAAGCAGGAGCTTTTACACACATACCGGTCGTGTGAAGATTGTTGGGTTAGAGAGACGACGCTTCGAAATGCGGTAGGCGGTTCTGGGGATTCCGGATGTTCACTTCGCACAGTGTATAGGAGCGCTGTTTGCCCAATGAACTCTCTACGATTTAGATAACCCACTAGCTGATGATCATTCACTGCAGATGTAAATCTACTGCAAAGCTGAGTGCCTCGCCGCCCTGATGATGGAGGCAGCAAGTACCTCTGAAACGTCGGCAAACGTCTACCAGACTACACGGCGCAACAGCCCAGAAGACAGCCATCAATAGGAAACTTCGTAGATATCCAATTATTTTTTTCATAAACGACACCTACGAACAGACGTGTTTATTTTATGCTCTTAGCAAACGTTAAATCCAATTCTGGTTACACTCGCATAAGCTGAAAGTTTAACATGCCAGTACCACCAGTACCGCAAGCCGTCAATGGAACCAATTTCCCCTCGATTCAACCACCTCCTTCTAGGTATTCCAAAAGTGACCACTTTACGAAAGATTTCAAACCAATATTCTATACGCACTTCTGTCCCCCATTCTAGCTACACGCCTAGACAATCGTAAGTTCCTAGATTTCAGTTTCTCGTTATGTCTTACCTTAAACTGCTCACTTAGGGAACGTGAGTCTCCCAGACAAACGATTATAATTTACCACTTTGCTCAGGATAAAGCAACTGCCTAAATTACCTAAAGCGTTTTGGAGGCAGACGAGGAAAGTCTGAGTCATCTACCAGATACTCACTTTAGAAGCCATGATGTCCTTTTGCTGAAGAAGTTGAGACCTGCACTGGCGCTGAGGATGTGCTCGCGTCTTTATATACGGCCTCTGAGTTAAGAAGATAACTCAGAAAATGATGCGCGGTCAGGGGCGGAGCTGCGGAACGCACAGAAATTTACTGCCCTGTCGAGCGGGTGACCTTCTCGACATTACCCGGTCCCACTTTATGTGACGGCCCCGAGTAATTGAGATTCCACTGCGTGGAAAGCAAAACGGAGCTACATCGCTATAAACTAAACTACACATGTAGTGTGAAACAGAGAAGCAACTTCAGCGTTCATAATTATGGTAAGAAATCTCGTAGAAATCGGCCACTTTGAAAATCTGTATTGAACTGAATGGTGAATGTCCAACGGTGAGCTTTGGTTTTAGCGGTGTTGAACGTTCGGGTTCTGGTATCACAATTTCTCAGTGAGTCTGAGTCTGCTAAGTTTATCTGGTTCCTATTTCTTTAGCGACAGACAACGTTCGACCCGCAAACTCCCTTTCGGCTCCCTCACAAAGTGAATTCCAAGCGTGGATTAACAGACAATTAAACGAACACGACCAATTATATTATTTCACATCCACAGGAGAGAGGCACGCTCACGGAACATTTGCTACAGAAAACTGCTACCTAAATGCCAAAGATAAACGCAATATGGCGACAGAAGAATGAGTAAATGGAGAAAATCCGGCACTTTTTATATCTTGTACAGTCTAGTGCCAACTTCAGCAACCACGTCTCTGCAGGCAAAGTCGGGCAAGTCGACAGATTTTGATGCAACAACATTCTCTGTTATCAGCAACATTTGATTAAAACGACAAAGAAACTCCCCCATAAGGACTCACGACAAAGAAACAAGAATACTTAGAAATTTTTTTTTTTTTTTTTGGGGGGGGGGACGTCGTCGAATAGCCCGGCTGGAAGAACAAGGTACAGATTTATTAGAACTATACAGGTTAAGAAGAAACCGGGATAGCTCAGGACTGGACGACCAAAGTTCGATTCCCGGTACGGGTAGAGACGTTCTCTTCGTCCTGACATCAAGGCCGGCTCCGAGACCCTTCCATCCCATCCAGTAAGTACCATGGCTTCTTTTCCCGAAGGAAAAGCGGTCAGGGCATGAAGCCGACTCTTCGCCTCCATCCAACGCCTACGATCGGAATGTGTGGAACTACTCCTGATGCTGTGGTGCTTGATTAAACACCTTGCAGGTTTCGGGTGTTTTGTGTCGACGGCGAAACGCATTCGAATTTGGGCATCTTTTCTTTGTTCTCGGGATCGGACCCGTGATCTCTAGCCTACAGACCAGTCGAAGGCCGCAACCACGTCGTTGCGCTGTTCCACAAACCAGCGCTAATGGAGCAAGCGGTCGTTCAGTGTTCCTATGACAATTTCGGAAACGAAAGAAACAAATCACTCGAACTGGCGCTGTAAAGGGGCGCGTCCTTGTGTCTGTATCCGGCACGGAGAATCTTGCTTCAAGGCTGCTTGTGTGTCCACACGCGATAGACGAGAGGCGGCTTCACTCCCGACCCCGGTTAAGAACAAAACCACAAGAACATCGGACGTCAATCAATACCTTCGACACTTGTATCATTGACTCAGTGTTTAGCCGCTAGAGCGAGAACACAAGTCGGTCAGCTACACTCCAAGACCAGATTCGAACTGGTCATCTCCTTCAACCAAAGTATAATTGCCGACTGTTACACCCTTCGATGTTGGGCATTCCCAGTTCTGCAAATATTCATCTTATTATCATCACCCATGTCAAGTTTTGGGAATTTGTTTATGCCAATGACACATCTTCTGCCTGCCTCATTATTTCTAAAATAATTACTAACAATATCAATGCAAAAGAACAAATTATAGACGTCGCGATGACATTCTTTCTATTGCCTATTTTACACGCACGTTTCATTCCGTTAACTACCATCCTGTGCTGACGTCTAGAATTCATGTAGCTTTACCTCCGCGTATCCTACACGCCTTCAGAGCCCGGTACGAAAGAAGGGGGAACTTTCCCTTTTCGCTTCTTTATATATTCAGTTTATTTAACGACGCTTTTTCAATAGCTCGGACTATACAGCGTCGATTTTCGCTTCTTGTATCCCGAAATAAGTACTGAGAAGTGTTCACTTTTTATGCTTTTAGACCCTCAAGATTAATATCGGTGAACTTTTTTCTGCTAAATGATAAATAAATAAATAAATAAATGAATACATGAAACTTCCAACTCACACACAGTAAACAGCTGGGAGACGAAAAGAGCCAAGAGGGGACACGTAAAAAGTTTATTGACAAATGTTATATTACATGAAGAATGAGGAGGCCACACGGTGGGACTAGGCATGGAGGCCTCAGCTCTGGGTCTACATTACAGAGAAACAGCCAATTAGCGGTACTAGGCCTTCGCACCATACGAAATACCGGCAGTCAACGGAGTTACGAACTTGGCGGGCTCACGGCGTACGACGGCGTTGAATCCGTTGACGGGGTCGGAGGTGTACTCGACAATGCGAAGGATGCCGTCGGGTTCCACTAAGTAGTAAACACCTTGTACGTAGTCCCCATTGCGTGTCTCATGATGACCCTTCGAGTCGCCTGTCACAGTGTCCTGGACGTCGTAAGCGAAGCTGTAATAGGGGTTCGGGTCGTAGTCGGTGTCGACGTTCACAGGGGCGGCAGCAGCAGGGGCCCCAGGGATCACTACAGAAGGAGCACCGAGGAGACCTGCCCTGGCGATAGCCACAACGGCGGCGAAAACGAACGGCTGTTTATAAAATCATAAAATTAAAGTTTATTAGACTCCGATCAATAAAAAGGACACCTGCTCAATTTGTTCACATTTACCTTGAATATCATTTCAGTAAGAGATTGTGTTTGTCAGTACGCATGATGCACACGTATTTATACGACCTTATATCTAGTATACGCCCTCTGCAGCTGTCACAGTAGAAAATAGACTTCTAGTTTCCAGATAGCAGTAACACACCCGTCCTGGGGCAAAACTCCTTTCATTTTCGTTGGGAAACATGTCTTCAAAGTTTGCATGCAAACATGCTTATGACATTCAACACATCCGCCGGATCGTATTTTCCGTCAGTCCTAACGTTTAAACAAAATACCATAACAGACATTCCGGGTTTTTAGATGATGTATTATTATATAAATGTTCAGGGTGCAAGATTCAGAGACATTGGTGCATAAATGTTTTACAATATTACTGATAAAAAGGTTCACTAACAGATATACGAGATTAGACTTTCTCACGGCGAAGATGTCCACAAAGCGAAACGCCCCAAATGCCAGGAAGAAGCACCTTAGAAAGGCGACAGAATAAAATACCGGGAACCCGACAACAGGGTTTAGGCAGGCACACAGAATCATTTTCGTATCATCGCTTGCCTGCGATGTAGCAAATGTACGGCACATGTGGGGGAGTGGAGGTGTTGTTCTGAGCTGAAGGTCTTCAGTTCGAGACCGGCTGAATGTTCTACCATGACCATCCCTCAGCTCACTTCTATGGACTGAGCATGAAGAAGTACCAGACGCACGACAACCGAAGACCAACACACCGCTAGACAAACACGTCTGAAAGGCACCGCGATCAGTGGACTTCTGGTATCTTTGTTAAACTGGAAAGGTAAGTTTAGAGCAAACACGTAATCGAAACACAAATGCAAAGTTATAGAGCGTTAAATGGTAACTTCGCTGAAAATTACCAATTTTGCAGCACATGAAATCGGCTGTCGCTTATTTTGTGGTGTCATTCCAACGTCTTTGAGGAGGTCCTCAGAAACACAACGAAAATCCAAAAGGCTGTCGAACATCTTGAAAGAGCATCGAACCGAAAACATCTGGAACGAAAGGGTGGGGGTTCAGTAATCACTACACCACAACGTTTAGAGTGAGACAAAGAATCACTGGGTCCGCAAGAAATATGGACGACAATTAATGAATGCAGAACGTCCCGTTTCCTGAACCGAGCTTCGCGTAACGTCAAGAACTTGGCAAGTGCGGAAGTAATTTGCTAAACACATACAACTGCATTTCGAGACGCTATGAAAACTGAACTTCGATTATTTTGTAAGGAAGTTCATTAGATACAATGGTAACAAAAACAGCGCTGGTAACGAAGGCTATTCCGACCTACGCCATTCTTCCACTAAAAATTAATTCTCAGAGATCGGGTCAAAAGAATGAGGTCGATATAATTAAAGTAGGCCTTGAGTGAAATGGCTACTTGTCATAAATCAAAGCTATAACAATTTCAGCAGAAGTTCCTAAAAACCGGATTCGTGTAGTTCCTAGAGTCGTATAGGATAAAAGATTAAACTGCGCCCACGTGAACGGAAGCTTCGGCGACACTTAGAAGCTGACTGCACGGAACTCTCGACGCAGTGACTAATTCTTTAACTGCCTCCTGGTTCGGAATCTTTGTGCAGCTGATATTACTGAACTGATCAAAAAATTCCATGGTTTTTATGGAATCGAACGATCCATCATCATGATCACAAAAAGTATTAATGTGATTCCTGTCCAACTTGTATTAATAAAACACGATTTAACAGAGTGTGTGTCTAGGCCTGAGTTTCTAGACATTTCCCCTTGAGGTATGCGAGACCAATGGATCAAACAGTGGTGAAAATTACGTTCTTCTGGGTTGTGACGCCGTGTGAACTCACAGGCAGATAGCATCATTTCGGAGGAACATACTGACCCCAACTTCATCCCTTAAGACGAATTAATTTGTACTCTGGCAAGCACTGACATCATCACGAACATTACCTTCAATAATCGGCCTACGGCCTTCAAGGTTCACCCAACCGATTCACAAGAATGTACGGGTAATGAAGTTAGAACAGATGGTCTTCATTACGAAAAGAGAGTGCATGTTGGTTTCTGATATATACACACACACGACCCACTGATATTCAACAGTCGTATTTAACTGAAATAAGCGCAGGTTTGCGGAGGCTAGGTGGCAGCCTTGCGGCCCTGACATTTTCTGTAATAGGACAACCGGATCATCAGCAAGTTTAGGCCATGTCCTGGGACCACACACACGTAAGTCGAAGCCATAAACCTGAAAGTAACTTCTTCCCATCAGGATCATTACAGTCTACGTCTAAAATTAATTAAATGAGTTAATCATTTACCTCTATAAATAGCAGCACAGATTATTGTTATGACAGAAACAGACGTATCATTTATCACAAAATGCAAATTGAAATTCTCAAGTAATAGAAAATTGATAGTTACACTCTCACTACAACGTAAAGATAAGACAGGATTCAATATGGCGACGAACATTCGGATAACAAAAATCAGGAAACAAGTGTGCCACAGAAATGGTTTATCTGATATTTTAAAGTGTTTCGTGGTGTTATGCGTCTCTCCCTCCGTTTATCTCCGTCTGTGATATTGATGCTAGGTTTTATAATGTAATAGTCATCAATGTTTCGTTGCTTCACAGTTTAATTCATAAATCGAGCACTGTGTGGCGGCACGGCAGTAAAAATTCCCACCACGGTAAATAATTTTCATTAGAACGGGAAGCAAAGAGGACTGTGAATCACAGAGCAGAAAGCGTGAGAAGATTAAACCAAGCTCACAATAAAGAATATGAGAGCAGACCTGTCCAAGCTCTGACCCATGACCTATCGGCTGAACTTGATCCCGGATTCAGGTCAAATGTTAAGCTACAGAACCGATACGAAATATGGATACGTCATAACTGCCGATCCCTACGAACAGATCGAACCAAATTTTCTATGCGACAAAATCGCAAACAAGTCTCCTCCCTACCAAACTATTCTATTAATTGGAATTCCAGTTGTGCAGTATTTTAAATCAACTACTACTAAGCCGATTATATTATTTGATTTAGTGTTCTGTCTGACGACAGGTCCATATGAACAGGATCCTTCCATCCTTTTCTCGGACTGGGACCTGTTCATATACGTTCTTGGCAGATGATCCAGAAGTGGTTTGCCATTGCCTTCTTCTGTGTGTGAATGGAGTAATTGTTGGGATGCCACGGAGAAACCGGGGAAGCCCCCGGAGGAAAACTCCGTGATGCCTAGACCACGGCCTTACCCAACACAATATAATAAAGCAGAAAAATGAACGGGGAATTTAAACGCGTGGTAAAGAAAATAACACATTATTCGGCCTGAAAATCTGAAGGAGACAATTTCGAAGACCTTGAAGTAGATGGAATGATAATATTAAAATGTATCTGAAAGTAAGGCCCTACAGAATTTTCAGAAGGAAGCTCTTGGAATGTGGTCACTTTTCAGGTCAAGAAGACTGAAGATACTAAATTATGATAAAACCCAAACGGAAACGGACTGTGAAGATGGTAGGTGGCTATACTGGCTTAGAATCGTGTCTAGTGGCTTTGCTCTGGTGTCAGCCGTATTTGCCAAAAAAAAAGTTGTAGTGCAGTGAAGTCCCACCGCCGTGAACACCTTAAATCCTACTTAGCAAGTAAATATTCGCATATCAAGGGTCTGGAGTTTGCCGACCGAAACTCGGAGGTTTGAACCAACAGTTAACGGTGACACTACTCCCAACAGATGGCTCCACATCATAACCCAGGTAAGAGCGCACACTGCATTCTGCACTAATCTCCGAAGCTGTTTTGTTATCCAACAGTTCGTTGTGGTAATAATTAAACCCGATATGAATGTCATGCCAGCGACTGTTGAGGCTCTGGAAACCCTATTCGGTCGTCAGAGTCGAAGCAATGTTTTGAGAACATGTCCGAAAAGCTACGAGTCGCCACCATCTAAATATAACTAAAATAATCAATTTGTACCTCAAAAAAAAAAAAAAAATACAACGCGCCTTGGTTACAAGATTTAATTGGTTGATGTTGAGGAACAAAATTCTTGACTATTTCATCTTAACGCAGCATCAGAAGGTTGATCAACCAATTTCCTTCTCTGGCAACAACACCGAAGATCACGTAATGTGAATCCGTGTTACGTCGAACTCTGTTTTATAAAGTACAAGTGATCTCAGAGCCTCTGCCGAAACACATCTCTGTGACACACGGCATGGAAGTGGTCGTGGCCTGTAAATGACATTTGTCTGGCCGCTGGGCGTGGTCACTTTCCCTTTCAGTACCAGCCGCAGTCGAGTGTTGCTACATCGCCGCTCGGATTGCTGTGCCCAGCGCATTCCAGCCGCCAACCGCCTCCTTATTAGGGCCACCTGCGCTCTGCTCCACTTCAACTGTTTGCTTCGTCCGCTGACAGCTGATTGAGTTATTTAACGGCATTTCACCGATTACTTATTTCTTCTTGAGCGTCA